AAAACTTTGTTTTAAAGGATGAACTGAGTTGGAAGTGAGGATGTTAGGGCTGGAAGGGATTGGTATTTCAGGTAGAAGGAACAGCATATTCAAGGCAAGAACACAGAGGCGAATGGGAGTGTGCATTTATCTCCTGGGGCAGAGGTAGAATACCTCTGTTGGAGGGGAAGAGTGCCAAGATAGGAATTCAGAGAAGTAGGCAGAGCTTATGTCATAATGGCCTTTGTGTAAGATGCTAAGGATCTTGGAGTTTATCTTGGTGATGAGGAATTAGTGACAAATTTATTCATTTGCATCTCATTATCTTCCCTGACAAGCATGTGCCACCTCTGTGCCCCTGACCTCTGGCAAATATCATTCTCCTCTCAGAAACTCAACCAGGAAATCTCAGAGTCAATTTAAAATTTTTCTTCCCGTTAAAGAACAATCTCACCCATTTCACCCAATATGAATCCACCAAGTCCTTTCTGTTTGCTCTGTGCTGCCCTGACTCAGATGTTCGTGACCTTTTACCTAGATTATTTCAAGTGTTCAAACTGGTTTCTCTGCTTGATGTTTCCTCCTCAATCCATCCTGCACACTGCTACTAGCGTGATCTTTCTTAGAGAAAAGCTGAGGTCACTATCCTTCCCAAAAACCTGCAATACTCCCTCTTACATGCAGAATAAAATCCCACCTGGTTAACTTGGTGTGTTAGATCTTCCACAAGTTGACCTCCATTAAACATTTCAACCTTTTCTCTCATTTCACACCCCTTCTTGAACCTCCATCCACACCAGACTTAATCATCTTCCTGAATCAACTTTGTACCTTCTTGTCTCGGTATCTTTGTTTCTATTATATCTTCTCTTAAAGTTCCTTTCCTCCATCTATTTTTCAAGGCTTGCTCCAAATCACATCTGCTGCATAACAAATTATCCCAAAATTTAGTGGCTGAAAACAATGGATAAACATTTATTATAGGCCACAGTTTTTGTGAGTCAGGAGTTTAGGAGCATCTTGGCTGAGCGTTCTGGTTCAGGACTGCTCATGTAGGATAGTCATCCGAGTCTTGACTGAGGATGGAAGATCTGTTTCTCTTGGTGGGAGTCTTCAATTCTTCCACAGGGCTGTTCGAGTGTTTTCTGTGGCAGCTGGATTCCCCAAGAGCAAGCAATCCAAGAGACCAAGGCAGAAGCCACAATGCCTTTTATGATCTGGTCTCAGAAGTCACTTACCATCACCTTTGTGAAAAGTAATAAACAGAAACCTCATTTAAAATGGAGTTGGGAAGCCAGAAGTGGGAGCTCTCATGTCCTACCATGATGGCAGAGCCCAACAGGAGGAAGAAAGACTTCCTCTTCTTGCTGGCAAGAGCTCAGCCAATGATATGCTGTCACAATTTAGCCAATGAAAAGTCACTACACTTGGAACTCTCAATTCCTCCAATGGACTCTTTGTTTACAATAGCCTACGACTTCCTCTTCCCCTCTGTAAAAGAATTTCTCCTCCCCTTTTTGCTGGGAACTTGCACATGACTTGCCATGGTTGCAAATCCCAAGTTGCAATTCTTTATTGATCCTGAATAAACCTATTTTTGCTGAAGAAATAACTGGCTGTCTATTTGTTTAAGGTCAACACCTTCACCATACTCTTGGTCACACAGACCAGCTCTGATGTGAGGGAAATTACACAAGGGCATGAATACCAGGAAGCAAGGATCATCAGGGACAATGTCGCAAGCTGGCTAACACAACAGCTCTTCAAGAGGCCTTCTAGATTCCCTGTCTCCTTATGCCCCTCTCCTCCCTGTTCTCAATAGCTCAAATTCTTTGAAAAGCAGAGCTCCTTGAGCTCTCTCAATACAATCACATTTCCTTAATTATTTAGTATTATAAAGTGTGCACCTGAAAAATCTCTTTGGTTAATTATCAAAAGACATAGTTTTGAGGAACCTTATTCTCTAAAATTCTAGACTCTCAGGAACTTCGTTGTTTGGAACTCACATTACTGAGAACAGAACACCCCTTTCTTGTCTGGTGGATGTATACCATCCAAGTCACTTTCACTTAGAGAAGCAGCCTCAATTTATAACGCAGAGGTTCAGATAAGGAGTTTTTGGACACAATATTCTACATTAATCTTAAATTTATGTTTCTAAGGAAACAGAACCTCGAGTTGGCTTCTCAACCCAGGTCTGATATTAACCCCTTTACAAACCCCTTTACATACAGATCTGATTTGCTCTGAGCCTATTAACTACTATTTCATTTAGATTCTACCTAAACTCCTCCCTTCCCCTAATATTATAATGACCCCCTTTTCTTCCCCTTTTTGGAGACATGCCCACAATTCCTCTGCTGTGTGACATCCTTTGCTGCAGCAAGTTAATAAACCATTTTGTTGAGTTACAAGTTTGTCCCTGGTGGTTTTTATCTGATCAGCTTTACGAACAGCTAAACATATTTGAGCTCATATTAACTAATTTCATTTTTTTAGACTCACCCATGCTTCTTGAACAAGGGTACCTTTTAGAATATCTTGCCTAATGAGTCTTTCTTATCTTTCCTCTGAACTATAGTCTACTTCCTAAATATACCTTTCCTCTGAAATATAATCTATTTCCTAAATAGACTATTTTGGACTAACCTTGAATGCCCTTCCTTCACTGCTACAAACTCCAAGATGATACAGTCACTTTCTCCCAAGATTCTTAACACTTTTGCATTGCTCTGCAATTTATTAGTGAATTAGTAATTTTTCCTCTTGTTCCCCTAAGTGACTCCTTCTCTGGTCCTTTAGAATTCAGCTACAAAATCACCTTCTGTGTAAAGCCTTAACTGGAAGCTCTAGACAAAACTAAGCATTTTCTCTTTTGTGCTATTTGGCACTTACCACATTTATAATTTTTTTTTCATGTTTTTCTTCTCTACTAGCCTTGGGAAAATAGAGATTATGATCTGTTCATCCTTGTATCCTTGGTGCCATGCATACCTATTTACCTAAATGTTAAGTAAGGTAATGAAAATGTCCACATGGCAAATGGAGAATCCTGTAGAAGCTCCACTTTAGCAAAATTTAGACAGTTGAACATCCCTAAACACACACACACACACACACACCCCCCATCACTATATCCGGTCCTAGTGATTCTTGTAGTCTGTAGGAAATTACCAGTTTAGATTGACAATACACCTAGGAAACCACTATTTTGTGGGCTATGTTAACACATGGGCTACTTTTTACGTGTGTTTATTATGCAAGGTTTTATGTACTTATTTTCTGACTGATACACTTGCTTTTCTCCAGTTTCCTCAGCTGAAGACAGGCACTAAGTTACTGTACATACGCCAGCCTAAATGCTAGGAATAACTATTTCTGCATCATAGGGCCAGACAGGAGAAGAATGCTATAATCCGTAAAGCCCTTCCGATTCTGGGAGTAAGGCCAGGATGAACACAACGCACGATTGTTATTTCTGAATGTCCCTTTGCAAAGAACAGTGTTTCTAAAACTTTTTGTTTGATCAAACCCACATGAAGAAATACATTTTATATCACTACCCGGGACACATAGATACAAAAGACTGGAATAAAAATTTCTCAAAACAACTCCTTTACACGTGATGTGCTCAGATATTTTCCTATTGTGTTCTTTTTTCCCCTGGATTTCAATGAAAAAAAAAGTAATGGTTTCCATCTACCAAACTGATTTCACAACCCCCATGGTTTGTGACAAGAGATTCTCACATATCAAGGTATGTGGGGTAACTATTTGGGTTCAAAACTGATTCAGCTTGAACTAAAAAGCCTGACTTGGCCTATCAAACATACAATGTACATCTGCTTAACCACTAAAGTAAAGAATGCACTCTCTTAAGAATGCATACTTCCCCTCCGACACCCTATTGGTAACACCCTGTTGGTCACGTCCAGATTAGTCCCTTTCCTAACATCATGGTCATGTTGATCTGCTAATTTGCAACTGAATACCCCTTTGAAATCTTCATGAAAACATATCCTGGGTGTGTTTAACATATCTTCTTTATTCTAAAAAGATATAAGATTGCACTGAAAACCATGCTTCTAGGGAACGCTTTCTGTGGCCTTCCCGTGTTACAATCCCCACTCTGGCTCAAGTAAACTCACCTTCTCTTAGCTATCCAACGGTTATTGGTTATTTTACATAGAAATTTGGAAAACGCTGGCTTGGAACAAGGTTTTCTTTTTTTTGAGGAAGATGGGCCTTGAGCTAACAGCTGTTGCCACTCTTCCTCTTTTTTCTCCCCAGAGCCCCCGGTTCATAGTAGTATATCCTAGTCATAGGTCCCTCCAGCTCTTCTCCGTGGGACGCTGCCTCAGCATAGCTTGATAAGCGGTGAGTAGGACCCCGCCCAGGATCCGAACCAGCGAAGCAGAGGCCGCGAGGCATAATGCGCGAACTTAACCCTGCTGCGCCACCCGCCCACCCCTGGAAAAAGGTTTTCGATTTGTAGTCATTCTTCCCACATTTCCCGACACCTCTTAGGAGTTCCGGTCTGTTGTTTTCGTCTACTTGATTACTGCGCCCTCGGTTTTGTGTAAATGCTCTGTGATGGGGCCGTTCCCCTTCTTCCTGGGCTCCTTTAAGAGGGTGGTAACGGCCCATCACCGGGGGTGGGGGGGGCGGGGTTGGAGTGGCAGGTCCCACTAAATTCCTGGGGTAGGCCAGGCCCGCTTTCCCAGTTCCCGTGAAAGCCTGGGCGTGTGTGCACGAAGGCGGGGTACAGAGGCAGCAACCACACCCCGGAGGAGTGACGAGCGACGGACCTCTGCTCGCGCCTTCGCGGCGCCCCGGGCCCGGCGACCCCAAGAGAGTCCGCGCGTGCGCAGAGCGCGTCCCAGGACTGTTCCGGCCTCCGTGACGCCCGCGCGCGCTCCCGCCGAGCCAAAGTCCGAGGTGGTCTCCGGCGCGCGCACGGCGCGGCGGCGCGCTCCAGGGGGCGGTCCTGCGCGGCCGGCACCGCCCTCGCTCCGCGCGCTCTTCTCCTCCCAGTCTACCCCGCGCTTCCTGCACTAAAGCGGTCTCCACCGCGTCCCGTTCCCCGGCTCGCTCGTGCAGGCGGTGCCATGGCGGCCTTCAGCAAGTACCTCACGGTGCGAAACTCCTCGCTGGCGGGGGCCGCGCTCCTGCTGCTCTGCCTGCTCCACAAGCGGCGCCGCGCCCTCGGCCTGCACGGGTAAGAAGGCCCACGGCCGCGCCGCTCTCCCGGGCCCGCGCGGGCGCTCGCTGCTCGCTCTCTCTTTCCCCCCGCCCGGCGCCCGGCACCCGGCGGACGAGTTCCTTTCCCCCGCGGGGTCAAGCGGGGCGAGAGCCGGCTGGCCTGCTGCCAGGCTCCAATGTCAGGGTGTCCCCGCGGGCCTATCCGGCCCCTCACTCTGCCCAGGGAGTGCGATGTTTCTCCTGCGCCCGCTGGCAAATCTCTGCCTCTGCCCGGAGGCTGTCGCCCGCCCACCGCTTCCCCAAACCACCTCCTTTCTGTATCAGCTTTCTGAGTATGTTCTAGTTGTGCTATCTCATCTGCTGACAGACTGTGAAGGATTTGCGTTGTGGTCGTGTATGTGTGATATGGGGATGGAGATTGGACTTGCCAGGCGAGAGGCTGTTGGCTAAGGCACTTGGATGAAGGTTTGCACGATTCCCTAGTGGTTGCTGTTGAAAGACTCCAGGATGGTTCATGTGAACTATCCTGGGTCCACTTGGCAAAATTGCCTTCTAAAGTGGTGTCCCCGTGGAGTTGGTCAGTGAACGCCCTGGCATTTCATCCGGAAAGGCTGAAGGGGTTTTCCTGGTATTTGGAGAGCAAGGTTCTCTTCCCAGGGTCTGCAGGGGGGGAAGGTGAAAGTGTGCTTTAGGTGAGGATCAAGATCCTTTTTGATTATGTTCCACTACTTCCCCTGGAGAGAATTTTGATGTTTAGGTTTAACTTTGGGAGATTATAAGATTAGAGGAAGGGAGAGAATTGAGTTACTGTTGTGGGATTACAGACGTAATTTTTTATTTGCCCGGAGACACTTGCCTTCAGCAAATAAATGAGGAAAGGTTACTTTCCAAGCCTTCTTGCCAGTCACTGGAAATTTCATATTGCATCTTGGCATACTGCTCTCATGCATTTTACTTCATCTCTCTGGGCAGATACTGTTGCCTCCTGTTTTTGATTTGCCTAAAATATCTGGTTAGTAGTAGACTTTGGACTAAAACACTGACAAGTGGCCTTTCCATCAGGTTTTCACTAACCTTCTCCTACCTTCCTTATCTTACTGAATTCTAGAGTCGTTTCATTTCCAAATCCGCTTAACAGAGTTAAAAATGATTTACATCTTTGTCTGGACAATACAGCACCTATTCACTTTGCTTTAAAAATGATTTATTCTGGAAAATATGAACAAATTTTTCTATTGGATTGTGTGCTTTCTGAGCTCCCAGTTACAAATAGAAGTTATTTGTTATCTGGGAATATGCCAGTAGAAAATGTTGAATGCTGTAAGATATCTTTGAATTACATTTGCAGAGAAGTGTTTCAGTGCATAGAACAGGTGTTTTATTATGGGAGAGGACAGTCCTAACAGCTCTGGCTTACTTTTATGATTTAAAAAAAAAAATTGCTTTATTGGAGTATTACATATAGAAAAGTACACATATAAGTGTGGAGCTTGAAGAATTTTCAGAAAGAGAACTCACCCGTGTAATCAGCACTCAGATCTGCACCCAGATAAGAACATTATCATCATCCCAGAAACTCTCTTCATGTCCCTTTCAGTCACAGCTAAGGTAGCTACTGATGTATAAAACCAGAGATTATTGAGTAAGGAAAGTTTTAAACATAATCTAATGGGAAATAGTAACGAAACGGTATAATAGAGTCTGTCTTATTAAATAATTTTAGGTGTTTATTCACTGTAAAATGCTTTAAAAATCTCTTTTTGAGAAACTTTGTAAACTTTTTGGGGGAGTTAAATTATGCAACAGTTAATTTACTGAGCAAAAGATCGTTGTTAATCTTTTGCATTGGCGTGAGTAAGGAAAATCTTTATTTTACACATTAAATATTTTGTGGGAGGAGAATACAAATTATGAACAATTAAGCATGAAGTTTAAATTACTGAGATAAAATGAGTGAATTATTTTAAAACCATTAAAAATGGTGTTGAGTCTATCTTTGTAGATGTGATACTTCCGGAATCTTTTGGATATCTTTCAGTAGATATCTTTGGCATCACAGTTTGAAGATTAGAAAATTCTAACTTTATATTTTACTGGCTTTTTGGGTATCTTTGGTAACAGGCTAATTAACTTTACAGTCTGGTGCTTAATTCAGGAACCTGTGGCTGCTCACCCTTTTTTCGTCTATGCTATTAACCGTAGATTTTCTTAGAATACATTCCTTAGAATTGGATAGGTAATAGAGCTGGTAAAACCATGTTAAAAGTTACAGTGTCACATTATTCCAAACATTAGAAGAATGTGTAGTGTTCTGAGTTATGTTTTAGTTTTGTTAATGCAATTTTTTCACCCAGTGAAGTCATATATTTGCATACACGACCCCCCATCTATCTCTATTTTATGTAGATATATATGGTTTTATATATGTATTACTTTTTATTATGGAAAATTTCACATATATTCAAAGTAAGCAGAATAATATAATGAACCCCCTGTACACTTTGTCCAAGAAGTACCATGAACATTCTGCTATTCTCATTTCATCTAAAGCTCTTTGCTCCCCACCCCTTAATTTTGCAGATTTTAGGTAAAATCTATATATAAATAGTTATACATTTTTAAATAAATGGATACAACAGTGTAACACATCTCTATCATAAATTAGAACATTTTCATCTCCCCAGAAAGTTCCCTTGTATTCATTTCCCACCACCAGTGTACTAACTTTTTTCACATTAGTTTTGCCTAATCACACATCTTAGTTTGTTTATTATTTATGGGTAATAGTTTGTTTATTATTTATGGGTAATAGTTTGTTTATTATTTATGGGTAATAGTGGAATCTTTTTACTCATGGATAAAGAAGACCATGTATTCAGTTCAAAGGAAGTATTCAGAATGTTGTATTACTGTGCTGGGTGCTATGGGATGGGGAAGGGGTGGGTGTGTGTGTGAGTGTGTGTGTGTGTGTGTGTTACACATACATTAAAAAAATGTATAACATCTTTTCTCAGAGTTTACGTTCTTGTTAGGGAGAAGAAATTTAAACGCAAATTAGTTAAAAATGTAATGTGATGACAAATGCAATGTATAGACAGACATGCCTTAGAAGTTCTGAGAAAGGAGAGATTAATGTGTTTGGGAAGTGTTGGGGAAGGCTTTATGAAGGATGTGAACTAAGCCTAGAAGGGGGGTAGGAATGGGTAACTGGAGAGAAATTGAATGTTAATAGCAGACTTTATCAGATTTTTGTTACATTTTATGATAGGAAGAAGCTTTGTGATGCTCTTTCAGTCCATCTTCCACTGCCACCAGAGCTTTTTTTAAGAAACGCAAATATGATCATGTTATTCCTTCATTAAAATCTTTCAGCTATTCTAAAATACAAAATTTCTTAGCATGAGAGAATGGTGTTCATGAGCTGGTCCTTTACTACTTCTACTCATCCAGCAGTGTGGAATTCGCAGTGTCTGAGGGGAACAGGCTCTGCCCAGCCTTGGCAGTCTGGTTGTAATCACTGTCATCCCCACCACTTCTCCCACCCTTGATGGTTATTTTCCTTCAAGACTCACTTCCATCAGCACTTTCTCTTAGGTGTTTTCTGTCTTTTCCTGATTGCCAAACTGAGGTTGTTGTTCTCTGCCCTCATGATACTCTAAGCATTCCTTTGCTCCAGTAGTTCCTGCTCTGTACTGTGCTAGTTTGTTGTCTGGGCTCCTGCCCACATCAGACTCCCTGAGTTTCTTGAGGGCGTGGACTGAGTCATCCTTAAATTCCTAGTTTGCACATGTCCCAGGATAGACACTCAGTAAGTGGGTGAACAGATGGTATAGGATAGTCAGAGAACTTTTAAGGGCAGTTGTCTTACAGGCACTTGGAGATGTGGGACCAGTACAAGCATGAGTAGAGGGTTTATCTTCATAGAAGTAATAGTTGTGTACCTAGGGATGTATATCATGAGCTAGGTGGTAAGAAATCAGTGGGCCAATTTTAGAAGGCAGGGAAGGGATCAGTCTACATTGCCAGAGTATTTATGATCTTAAAAATAAACAAAGAACAAAGCAGTTTCTTACCCTTCCGGTGAATGCTTGTCAGAGTTCAGATTTCTCATCCTGAATTTCAGAGCCTTCCTCCATCTCGTCTCACCTTACCTGGCTAATCTTATATGCCGTTGCCTGCCAGTGAGTACTCTCTGTTCCAAATAGGCCAGTTTCTGCACTGATCTCTGAACAGGCCACACTCATTCCTGGCTTTGGAGGTTTTTTCATGGTATTAGCCATATCTGTAATATTTCTTTCTGTAGCCTCTGTTCTTCAACTCTTTAAGGGTTTTTTTCTTTAAGTGTTAGGTCAGGGTTACCCCTTCTATGAAGTATTATTTAACAGCTCTCAATCTGAATGATGATCACCACTTTTTTAACCTTCTGAAGCATGAATTTAGGTACCTTTCTTATTTCATCTGTTAGTTGCTTGACTGGGTGTGATCTAGCTGTCAGCCGTCAGGGTGTAGCCAAATCCATCAGCCTATGGGGTGATTCTTCATCCTTTTCTAAGCCCCAATCTATAGATGGTGGGAACACAGTTTCCTCTCCCAAATATTTCTGAGCAGTTTCAGGGAGTTTGTGTTTCTCTTAGTCATGCCTTATTACTTCACTTCTTTGCTTCTGCTCTATTTTAGATCCCTCTTACATCTTGTTTCTTGAGCCTGTCTTTTTGGTATCTGCCTTGATTCCTCTAAAGCATCAGTCACAAAGTAGGTTTTTGTAGTACAGTTTTAGGAGTAGTGGCAGGAATTATATCTCAGCGTAGTGAACAGCTTAAAATGGAGACATTCTTTTATTTACAAGTTCCTTGGACATTCCCACTGTTGGGAATTTGTTGACTGTTTTTCCCTGAGCCTCAGTTCTGTGGCCTGTTTGCTGGATCTTTTCTGTACCCCTTGGATGTTCTCACATCTACTCCCTGCACTCTCTCCCCACTGTACTTTCCTGTACACTTCAAATTCAGCTTTCCTTCC